AAAAAAGTATTTTTTCACCGTTTAAAAAATAATTTTTTTCATGGCCAAAATGATTCACAATTTATAGCAATAAGAGAGACCCACAGAATTTGCAGTTCGGTCATTTTTATAAATAAGTTTGTAAAATTCAGGAGGTGAAAAAACCAATCAAGTGAAGTAAAACTTGATGAACTAGTTCAACTTAAAGCTAAGTATTCTTGAAATATCTCTTAAATATATAAAACACATACTTTGCTCATTTTTAACAACTTGCATATAATCATTCCATTCTTTATGGTTAATTCCGTAGTAGTATATCATTCATTTCAGTGATTATTAACGATGTCCTTTCTCTTGATAACAAATTATGTAAAATTTGTAAAAATCCTTTAAACAACGAAAAGTCTCAAAATTCATAATGGTAGAGTTCATAGAATTTCGAATTTAAAATCTTGTTTAAATGAATCAGCTTTCACACGAGCTATCTATTCCGTTCTGATGCCTCATTCTAATAAAGATGTGTCATTCAATACTACGTTTCATGAAAAATTGTCCTCATTGAAACGACCCAGTCTCATTATGAAAAGGATTCCTGAATCTGCTACAAATTGCTGTGCATCTGCCCTTTGCGAAATTATAGATGAATGTTTACATACAAACTCTCCAACAAGCTGGGAACACTTGTTAACTTTTCCTTATACTTTGTTCTCCTTCCCACATGCCAAGGACTCCCGTAGATCTTCTCTCACGTCTCTTATAAAGAAAAACATCAAAAGTTTTAATTTCAAGATCAATGCATTTCATCTCAGATCTATAAAAAAAAATATAACCAAAACTTTTCCTAGCTTGTTTTGAATAAAAATGCTGATGGTGACATTAGGCCAGCTATCAGAATCTTGAGCTCAAGTGATACGTTGGCTGAATACGGTGAATCCACACTTCCAGGTCTCCGATCAAAACACCCTCGATCAGATTCCTTCAAGCATTCTCTGGATTCGCAACCACCACACGATTTTTCAGAGTTTCCGGTGTTTCAATTTTCGGAACATGAAGTATCGGAGGCAATTAAATCTTTTCATTATGGTTCTGCTGCTGGTTTAGATTCTTTCCACCCTAGCCACATGCAAGACTTCATTAGTTACAGCTCTGGTAATTTAGGACAGAAACTTCTTTCTTCTATTATAAAATTATGTAACTTCATTTTTACTGGTAGGGTTTCACCAGAAATTTGTCCTGTACTTTTTGGCGCTTTACTGTGTGCTCTTCGGAAAAAGGATGGATGAGTAGGACCGATTGCTGTCGGTACCTAGCTAAACTTGGTTATATGAGGATCAAAGACGAACTAGGATCGACGCTACGTCCACTTCAGTTTGGTTTTCGTACTGTAGGTGGACATGAAGCTGTTGCTCATGCAGCTCGTAAATATATTAATCTTCATCCAAATGCCTTCAACATTATTGATACAAGCATCATGCTTGGTTTCCAGGATGATATCCCTTCTTAAGTCAGTGTTATAAATCAGCTTCCTGATAATTTTTTGTATTTGGCGATGGCTCAATCGGTGCCGATGAAAACATTGTTTCAAAGGATTTAAAAAATAATCATTCATTATTTAAAATATATTGGATTTGAACTAAATTTTAATAAATGCGAGTTGATTACTCTTTCAACTCCGAATAATAATTCCGAATCCATCATTTTGAAATTGGCTCCTGGTATAAGAATTTTGGGAAAATCTAAATGGAGTGTTCTGGGTGCTCCTCTTTCTGAAGATTCACTTTCAGAACATCTTCGAGAAAAACGGAAATAACTCAAACTGCTGACCACCAGATTGAATGAACTTCCAAAACACGTTGCAGTTTTTCTTTTGAAAAATTGTTTGTACGTGTACGTTCTCAGATGTTCCCCCTCTTGGTCAAGTTAGATAGAGCTTGACGCATTTGATAATTCACTCCGTAACACGACGGAATATGTTACAAACAATTATTTCAATAAAGATTCATGGCACCAAGCAACGCTTCCTGTAAACCTTGGTGGACTAGAGCTACGTTCGGCTTTTTCCTTAGCTTTACCAGCTTTTCTGTCGTCAGTCAATAATGTTTTTGATCTTATCGATTCCATCCTTCCTTCCATATTTATCAATATTGAAGACGTGTTTTATGCTGAAGGTGAATCACTTTGGCATGCCGCAACTAAAATTGTTCCTCCTACAGATAAAAAGAAAATACAAAGTGCATAGGACCGTCCTCTTCTGAACAATATAAATGATAAACTTCTGAAAGCTGAAAGCAGCAATGATCAAGAAATCGGGTGCTTGGCTCTAATTGATGCATCTCTTGGAACACTTATTAGACAGTGAATCTTTCAGAATAGCACTAGGACTTAGGATAGGTTTGTCTATTTGTGTGCCTCATACATGTGTTTAAGGTGGTATAGTTGATGAGAAAGGTACACATGGTTTGAGTTGCAGGAGAAGTGCAAGGCGTATATCTCGACGTCACCATGTGAGTGACATATTGAAAAGAGCTACGGTGTCAGCGGATGTTCCTGCAATTCTGGAACCCTTAGGTACCAGTCGAGATGATGGTAAACGACCAGATGGTATGTCTCTCATACCATGGAAATACGGTAAATCTATGTTATGGGACTTCACTTGCTTTGACACAGTCGCGGCTAGCTGAAAGTTCGCAGTCTGCTGGAACCACAGCTTTATCTGGCAAACAATTGAAACGAAAAAATTACCAAAATCTTGGTAACAACTATCTGTTCCATTCAGTAGCGGTTGAAACTTTTTGTGTTTATGGTCCGGAGTCTCTGTTATTCGTTCATTAACTCGGAAGGAGAATAGGCCAAGCAACGAAAAATTACCGTTCTACATCTTTTTTGATAGAAAGAATTATTTTTGCTATTCAACATGGTAATGCTGCTTCGGTCCTAGGAACTATTTCTCCTTCACATAAATTTGATGAGATCATGCATTGCCCTCATTCCAGTACGGAACTAAAATCTCTTCGAATCAAGTCGAGATATGTGGATATGCATCACTCTTTTATCAAGGTTAATTCGTAAGTGATTGATATACCATCTTCTTTTTCAGTGCGGTCAATGGACTTAGGTCATTCTGGTCTTCCCAATATGAATTACAGTTCTCGTGGTTCTGGTTCCCTTTCAGTGGAAGAGCTTTATGAAGCAGGAGCCGAATCGATCTCTCTACGAAACCTTGCATCACTTGGAATGATCGATTGCAGCTTGAGAAATGGTTCGTATGCAGATTCTGTGAAACATGTTCTTTCTTACGAATCAGTAGAAAGTTGTCTTGAAAAATTGGATTAGATAATTTAGGAAACACTTGCTACATGAATAGCATTTTACAAGTTTTGTTTACGACGAAGAATTTCAAGAACGAGATTTTAACAATGAACGAGAACGAGAATGTTTCCTACTTATTCACCAAACTCAAACACCTGTTCAAGCAGCTGCAATTTTCCCACCAACCGATTTTCTAGAGTTTTTGAAGTCCATCAGATACTCGTTTTGGACAACAAGAGGATTGTTTCGAATTCTTGGAGTTCTTGTTGAATACTCCTCGTGAGCAAACCAATGGCAGAATTAATACTCCTGACTGCTCTGGATTGAATGATTCCGTACAGTCTATCTCGTCTTGTGTTTGAGAATCTTTTGCTGGAAAAATCCTCACCTCTTTTCTTTGCAGTAAATATTCAAGAGGTAACAAAAACGTATCTGGATTTCTGGAATTTTAACTAGCGTTTCCTAATATGACTAATAACCAGTCCGTGCAAAGCTTATCGTTAAATCATCTGAAAATGGAAATTTTGACAGGTGATGGACAGGTGACGGAAGCACCAAACTCTTAGAAAGGTTCGAAATAGATGGACACTCAAATCTAGTAGACCTCTATTATAATCTTCATGCAGCCATTGTGTATTGTGTTTCTGACGTTGAATCTGGTCATTATTACGCCTTGGTCGAAGGCGAAATGGACTGGTTTAAGTTTGACGATAGTCGTGTCACGAAGTGTTCTGATGATGTATTGAATTTATTGGAGACTCTTAAGACACCAAACATTTTGCTTTATGAAAAAGAAGACATTGGCAGATCAAGATCTTCAGATGATGTGGTGCTGCAGGTGTTTCCGGGTTTTTCTGCAGCTGAAAAAGCAAATGCGCCACTAGAATCCATTAATTCGCCCCGGAGCACCAAATAATTTTTGTTGTTGTTTTATAATTTCATGATTTGTATTGAAAATAAATTTCTAGAAGATGAAAATTCAACAGTCTGTGAAGCACACTATTGAATGCAGCTACGTTGATAAGGGTGTGTGGAGGAATTACGTATGATAATGTCCGTGTGAGATGGTTTGTGGAAAATTGCAAAATCATGTTTATTGTTATTTTTTTGTAGTGGTTAAGTCAAGGTACTTCATTGAATTATTAACCTCCCTTTCAGTGGTGAATTTTATTGACGGATGGATGGAATTAACATATTCAACGAACTTGCCTAATATCCTATCTGTACCAGTAAAATTGACTAATATATCATCTACGTATCTGTACCAGTACAAGAAACTGTTAGTTGACTTATCATTATTAGTCCTTCACTGCATGAAAAAAAAAATTCATCAAATTGGAAATGATTTTGAGATATATAGACAAATAGTAAGCAGATCTGAAATTTTCTTGTTTAATTAGTGTATTTACGTGATTTTTGTCTATGAGACGCCCCACCAGTCCAATTGTTTCAATTGGCGGAATACTGGGTAATAAATTTTTGAAAGTCAAACGATATTAATTTTTTATTATCAGGAAGAATACGTTTTTAAAATCATTCACTAATTGATAAGAATTATTTATACTAAATCGCGGCTTGAAATTGGTATAGGTTTGAATCAGTTCCATTAGGATTTCTGAGATTTTTGAAAACATGTTTTGAATACGTTATTTATGAATTTTCATCAAGTTTCGGCCAATTCCATCATCAATAGTTGAATAAAACAAGAAAAAAAAGTTTTTTACAAATTTTTTTATCAAATATATAAAGTAACAACATAATGACTCGGTAAAAGGATATTAGCAGAATGGTAAAACAATATTACAAGAGTTTTCCATCGCTATAACTATAACTAACATAACCTATGAATTAACAGTTTCGACTCATCTGACGCAATGTTCAGATGTAAGAGAACGCTACATTACATATTCAACTGTAGTCTACGTAAAATATTTATCACATTTTCAAATGTATTATTTTTTCGTACTGAAGTTAAATTTCCGGGGCAACTGACATTTCAATCCAAGTTTGTATGAATGCTCTTCAACTAGTTTCAAATCGTTGACTGTTACGGGAACATTCCATGACTATAGTTCCATTCTTTGTACGAGGTATCATTTTAATAGGTAACGAAATTTCACCCGATACACTATATAAATATATGGCAAATGTCGCAACAGCGAATAGGAACCACCTACTTTCATTTTTTTTCTATCGGATTTCCCATATCATCTATCTCTAAAGAAGGAACCATTGGTGGTAAAAAACCATGTTCCATTTTTATGTTTTTACTGTCAAAATGAGATCTCGCATTTCTATGTATTCTCAACAAAGGACCCGCCCCGTTAAATATTTTTGGAGGCAGTAATCCAATGTTATCGTGGTTAAGAATATTGCCTTTGGATGTATGGTAACCACATTGTTTAAATTGTACTTGAGGATACTTCGAATCTGCTTGAATCGGAGGTAAGTAGGCATCTCCTTGAAAAGGTTGTAAATAATCAATGGGAATTTGCCTAGGTGGTAAATAGCCATTGTTCAGAATAAGATTCTTCTTAGGAGGAATATATTTGTTGATTTGGGGAGCGTAAGCATAAGGATTGGCAGTAATATAAATCTCAGGTTGCGACTGCTGAACATACTGTTCTTTGGGTTGATATTTTGTCTGATCGGTATAAGATTGTTGCAAAAATATCTGAGAAAAATATGGGTGTTGAAATTGGACTCTGTTTGATTTTGTGACACCAAAATCCACATTAACAGACTGCTGCACAGGAACTTTCACTGCCACCGGATATGACTGATCAACAAAGTGTGGGACTGGTTTTTCAACTACTTTTTCAACCGGATATGGTCTGTCAATATAATGTGGAACTGGCTTCTCTACGATTTTTTCCACAGGATACGGTCTGTCTACGTACAGTGGAATTTTCTTTTCCACAATTTTTTCAACCGGCACCTTCACCTCTACTGGATAAGGCCTATCGATATATTGAGGAACTTGTTTCTCCACGATTTTCTCTACGGGGTATGGTCTGTCAATATAGTGTGGAACTGGTTTTTCTACAATTTTTTCTACAGGATATGGTCTATCGACATAGTGTGGCACTTTTTTCTCGACAATTTTTTCAACAGGAACCTTAACCTCTACTGGATAAGGTCTATCTATGTAGTGTGGAACTGGTTTTTCTATGATCTTTTCCACGGGATATGGCCTATCCACGTACTGTGTGACTGGTTTCTCAACGATTTTTTCCACAGGATAAGGTCTATCAATGTAGTGGGGGACGGGTTTCTCCACAATTTTCTCCACTGGTACAGGCTTTTCTATGTAATGAGGAACTTTTTTCTCGACTATTTTCTCTACTTGAACAGGTACTCGTACTTCAACTGGATAAGGTTGTTTGACAATTTTCTGCACAACTCTTTCGACTGGAAATGGTTGAGGGTACGGGACACGAACTTCTACTGGATAAGGTCTGTCAATATATTTTGTGATATGCACTGGAATATGAACTGGTTTTTCTACAACTTTCTCCACAGGAATTGGTTGAGGAATCCGTACAGGCTTTTCTACATATCGAGTTATGTGTATAGGTTTTTCTATAACTTTCTGTATAGTTCTAGGGATTTCTACTTGTTTCACAATGGAATAGGGTACCTCAACAGGATATGGTTCGTGTATGACCTTCGTTACTTCTTTCGGAGCTTGTTCAACATCTGGAGTATGTTGAACGGTAACTTGATTTTGATAACCTTGAGCTTGCTCTTGATCAATTTCTAAAAATTGGTTTTTGATGTCAGTACCTGGTAATTGTTGAATGGTAATGTGATTATCTACGTCCGCAATAGGTTGATTTCTCACAGATATTCCTTGACTTGGAAAATAGAGAAGAGTCTTTCCCAATTCTATATTTTCTTTGGCTTTTTCGTCTATACTAGATATAGAGGAGTTGTTTATATTAACGTGTTGTTCATAGCTGATAGGATATTCATATTTTCCCAAATAATACGGAATACTTTCTTGAACTTCAATATGCATTTTATTATTATTTTTAATTTGCTCTCGTTCTTCAGTATGTTTTTCAACGTTTTGCAACCTGATTCCTGCGGTAATTGGCGCTAAAAACTTAGTACTAACTGGTCTTGGGGTTACAACAACCGTTGATACTAACGGCGAAGCTGTTGAAGAGAACCAAGCTGTTGATTTTGCTGTGGAGTATGATTCTTCTTGGTTCGATTCAACAAATGATGTAGAAGACGGTACATCGATTTCAAGTGAGTCGGCAACTATGATCGGTTGACCATTGAAACTGCTTTCCTTGATACTGGATTCCGTTGTTGTGCTAACTGATGTTACATCAGAAGTTTTGTATTCAGTATTGGTTTCTTGAGAGTTGATTTTAGTATTCGACTCTTGGTACTCTGTGATTGCACTATTGATGTCGAGAACGTCTTGTCCAGAAACCAGATGTTGTGTACTTTCGACCAACTTGTTAGATTCTTCATTTTTTAATTTATTTATTCTCAGTCCAAACTCTGAATATCCGTCTCTACCACTGTATTCAGTAATATAATCATTGAGTTGAACAAGTTTCTGTGGTTGGTTAAGATCATAGTTATGTGATAACGTGTCAAGTATTCCAATATTATTTGAGGTTTTACTGATATCATTTTCTAATGATACACTTTTTTCTTGGTGATGTTTGGACGTTTCTAAAGTGTTTTCTTCCTTAGAAATGTGTTCCTGAACTTTTGGAGGAATATAGTTCTCTGCGGACTCTTTTACTTGTTCATATTGTTCCAAAGAACTGATAGTATTTTGATTTTGTGGTTCTAAACTTTCTATAAAATTTTCTTGAGCACGAGAATCATCTTGGTTAGGAGTTATTTGGGTTAGAGCTTGAGCTTGTGGTTGAACTTGAGTTAAGTATTGTGGAAAAAAACCCCTTAATGGCAGGCCTTCGTTAGATGTTTGCGAATTTTCACCTTGATGTGATGATAATTGGATGTTTTGAGCTATTTTTATCGATTGTTTTTCCTGTGGTATGTGTTCAGGATTAATCTGAGGGATCTTTGGAATTTCTGGTAATCTGACGTCGAACTGCACGTTTTTTTCATTAGCAGATTGTTGTGTTGTTGATTGGATCTGAACATCTTTTTGTCCCTGATCTATCGACTTTGATAATTTTTCCAGAGATATCCGGCTTCCTTGTTTGTCAAGGTTTCCTGTATCTGGAAGGCCATGGAGCTGGGGCTGTTTGTTCTGAAAAAAAAAGATATAAGTGTTTCTGGGCTGTAGAATATCAATGGAATCAAAATCAAAATTTATTCTAGCACACATTGGGTACTAAAATACATCTCTCAAGAACGTAATGTCCAAAAAAGATTTCAACAAAAATATTTATGAAATAGTTATAAAATATGAATTCTGCAGCTGAAGCTATAAAAATTTATTCTTTAAAATACATTTTTGATGAAGGACTCGATATTTCATAACCTTCCACAATCTGAAGAAATGAAAGATGAAGCAATATATATTTATATATACAGGGCTATTCAAATTCGTTTCTGTACATAGGGATCTCGTAAACGATAAGAGATAGAGTGTCGGTTGAATTATGGCAAAGTTGCGAATTTCAGAGACCTATTCAATGATGTAAAGAAATCGAATATTTATTTTTTTGTTCTGGAGATATACAAGAAAAACCAAAAAATCTCAAATTATTTTTTTGTCTATATCTTCTTTATTCGCAGACATATTGAAAATATGTCCACATTTTGCTATAGGTACTTGATGTGGGCTCTTAGAATATATCCATAAATATTTTATACAGGATGTCATCTGACTTGGGCCACTCCCATCTTTGAATTTTTAAATACGGACCTGTATTTTTTGTTGTAGTTTTTGGATCGTAGACGTTTACTTCATACTGAGAAATTAAATTTAATATTAGTTTTCGGGATTCTTCAGTTATATTCGATTATAATTGTGTGAATTATTCCCTTTTAAATTACGGCCCTGGATATTAGTTGACTGAGTTGAATCAAATCAAATCAAAATTTATTCAATTCAGATTATTATAAAATATAAACTGTTACAACTTACATCTATGAAGGATCGTGGCTATCTAAGCCACGAATCCAATACAAACAATACATTTACAAACTAAGATGAACCTACTAAATAGTTCTGGAAAGTCCTAGAAGGACGACCAAAATGATGAGCAGTCTTTTAGCATAACTAGAGCATCAAATACGAAAGAAAAAACAGAAACAACAGCTTGTGACATTGTTTTGAGTGATTGCAGTATGGTGAATTAGTCAACTATCCAGTATTGTTTCCAATCTGTGGTAATTGTGATTGATAAATGTTTTCAATTCTATTTTCAATTTAGTATAACTTCTGATACATTTTAGTGACGGTGGTAAATAATTGTAGAGTTTTGGTCCAATATATGTGATAAATTTTTGATTGTGAGTAAGTCGGCATCGTGGAACCTTTGCAATCTGAGAAGTGTGTAAACGAGTATTATACTATATATTCTGAACAAATGAACTCGTAACATTGGCTGTCCATAATATACAACGGAAAGTATACAGTTTTCCTACACTATATATTCCACTCTCTTCATATAATGCTTGAGTATTATAGAATTTATTCTTTTGGAACATAATTTTTATGAGTGAGTTTTCGATCATTTCTAAATTACGCAAGGAAGAATAAAAACATAATAGCAACTTTCACGTCTCCCTATGTATCTTAGGGTTTTATGAGAGTTTTTTTCATTTTTAGGTACCTATTCATATTTTTTTCATTGTTCTGAGCGTTTTCTACAATGAACTTCGAATAAGAAAACCTTTTATGATTATCTGAAACATATCTACAACAAAAATATATTATGTGTGTTTTGATTAGGAGAAAAAAAAATGGTAGCAATGATAGTATCCCAAACGAACACTATAATTATAATGAAAATTGAAATGGAGTAAGTAATTTATATACACAAAAAAAGTAATTTGTCAATAAATGTTCGAATTGAAATAAGATTGCAAGATCACCAGATCGCACTATTTTGGACTATTTTCTATGGAGGACTTTGAAAAGTAGGATTTACGCTGGCAGAGAGATAGAAAATGTGGAAGACTCGAGATTGAGGATTTTGAATGATTTCGCAACAATGTAGCAAATAGTTGTATTAAGGGCAATAAATAATATGAAAAACCGAGTTTAAAAATGTCTCGAAATGAAAGGAGTCCAATTCGAACATTTATTGCCCCAATAATTTTTTTGGGTACCGATATAAATAACTTCATTTCAATTTTCATTACAATTATAGTGTTCGTTTCGGATGTTATTATTGCTATCATTTCTTTTTCTGCTTATTAAAGCACATACAATATATTTTTGATGTAGATATGTTTCAATTCATCATAAAAGGTTTTCTCATTCGAAGTCCATTGTAGAAAACGCTCAGAGCAATGGAAGAAATATGAATAGGTACCTTAAAATAAAAAAAAAACTCTCGAAAAACTCTACGATACATAGGGAGACGTGAAAGTTGCTATTATGTTTTTATTCAACCCAGTCACCAATTTCCAGGGCCATAATTTAAAAGGGAATAATTCACACAATTATAATCGAATATTACTGAAAAATCCAGAAATATAAAATTGAATTTGATTTCTCAGTATGAAGTAAACATCTACGATCCAAAAACTACAACAAAATATACAGGTCCGTATTTGAAAATTCAAAAATGGGGGTGGACCAAGTCAGATGACACCCTCTATTGAAGATTCATGGATATATTCTGAGAGCCCACATCAAGTGCCAATAGCAAAATGTGGACAGATTTTCAATATGTCTGCGAATAAAAAAGATATAGGCAAAACAATTATTTGGGATTTTTTGGTTTTTCTTGTATATCTCCAGAACCAAAAGAGCTATATTCGATTTCTTTACATCATTGAATATGACTCTAAAATACACAACTTTGCCACAATTTAACCGACAAATATAAAGATGTTATATTATAATAAGAGACTGCAGAATTGAGGTAAGTTTTCCAGATGTTAAACAACAGAAGTTATAACAAGGAATGTAATTATTAGATCATGTTTTGTTGTGTGGGAGTGGATTGAAGAATTTGAATGTAATCAAACAACTAATAGAAAGATGACACAGAACAGAAAAGTTTGCATCACTCAGTAAATCATTCATATTACGCTTTTTCTTTCAATAAAAACTAATATCGGTATTCTCATATATTGGATGAAAATATCTATGGGTTCTGTTATACAAAGGTTTTTTAGTAGCAAACATGTCAATCGTCACCTTGAAATATTCAAATAAAAATTTTTCAATGTTATATGATATCGCAATAAATAAGTAACACTTCAATGTCTGCAAAGTTCAATAATTTCCGGAAACTTTTTCTTTCCGAAATTGAAATTGAAAGCAGTTATAGCTGATATTTCATATTTTCGTCAGTAGGATTGTGTATGAATCATAATTTTTTTGACATCTTTGATGGTGATGGATAAGGACAATTATTATTATTATTCCCATTTGATAGATAAACCATCTCTGGAATTATATTCTACAAGGACACCTGAAAGGTGTTTTCGAAAAATATACCGCTCTCAGTAGCGAGCTGAGTTATTCGAACACTTTCCGCAAAAGTATTTATAGAAAAGAGGCAAGTCCCCAACGTTCCTTCTGAATTCCAGGCATCGAAATTGCTTATGACATTTGAAACTCCAATTTAGAAAGAGTATAGCAGCCTAAGAGTATGTTTGAGGTAGACCTCTACATATGTAAGAATCAATATTCTAAAGAAAGCCAACTTTGAACACACATCAATAAAGTTGTCTGATCTCAATGTGCAACATATTCTTTCAAATTTGTGAAAAGCTGCCTTTGTTATTCCAGCAACATGATTGTGCCAAAACATATTGCTATGCATTACACTCCACATATCAATCAACTCAGCAAGCGGAATTGTTTGCTTTGATATAATTTTTTCGTACCATTGAGTTTTACCCGATTATTGACACCCTGAGCTAAATTTTCTTCAGACATTCATGGGTTCATCTATTTGTGTTCCTCATACTTGTGTTTGCGGTAGTATAGTTGATGAGAAGGTACACATGGTTTGAGTTATAGGAGAAGTGCAGGGCGTACATCTCGACATCACCAAGTGAACGACATATTGAAAAGAGCTTAGTTGTCAGCTGATGTTCCTGCAATTCTGGAACCCTCAGGTACCAGTCGAGGTGATGGTAAACGACCAGATGGTATGTCTCTCATACCATGGAAATACGGTGAACCTGTGATATGGGACTTCACTTGCGTTGACACGGTCGCGACTTCCCATCTAGCCGGAAGTTCGGAGTCTGCTGGAACTGCAGCATTGTCTGGCGAGAAATTGAAAAGAAAAAAATACCAAAATCTTGGTACCAACTATCTGTTCCATCCAGTAGCGGTTGAAACTTTTGGTGTTTATGGCCCGGAGTCTCTGTTATGCGTTCATGAACTCGGAAGGAGAATAGGCCAAGCAACGAAAGATCACCGTTCTACCTCTTTTTTGATAGAAATAATTAGTTTTGCTATTCAACGTGGCAATGCTGCTTCGGTCCTTGGAACTATTCCTCCTTCACATAATTTTGATGAGATGCATTGCCCTAATTTCAGTACGGAACTGAAATATCTTCGAAATGACCCGAGATATGTGGATATTCATCAGTCCCCTGTCAAGGTTAATTTACAAGTGATTGATCCACCTTCTTCTTTTTCAGTGCGGTCAATGGACTTAGGTTATTCTTGCCCCCAAATATGAGTTGCAGTCCTCGCAGTTCTGGTTCCCTTTCAGTGGAAGAACTTCATGAAGCAAGAGCTCAATCGATCCCTCTACGAAACCCTTCATCACTTGGAAGAATCGATCGCAGCTCGAGAAATAGTTCTTATGGAGATTATGTGGAACATGTTCTTCCTTACGAATCAGTAGAGAGTTGTCCTGAAAGTCTAGAGAAGAAAATTGAATTGGATAATTTAGGAAACAATAGGAAATAATAACACTGATGAATTTCAAACAAGACTCAACCTCTGACGGAAGCAAGAAACTCTTTCGAAGGTTCGAAATAGATGAACATTTCAATCTAGCAGACCACTATTACAATATTCATGCAGTTATTGTTCACTGTGGTTCTGGCGTTGAATTTGGTCATTATTACGCCTTGGTCAAAGACGAAACGGACTGTTTT